GACTCTTTTTGGTTCAGAGTCTCCTCACGAAACCAAGTGAGGTTTAGGTAGGGTTCATTTATCTACATCTCACAATTTTCCAGTCCACTTCTTTGTACTCTGCGCTTAAGATCCCGTAAAAATTTAACATTGTATCACCCTGTCAGTAGGTTTTTTATCATACATTTGGTGGTGCTTTTTAAGGCATGAAACAAGCCCTTGTATCATGGTGATAAGGTCTTATCTGTCTTCTCGATTAGCTAGCTGCTCAAAGACAGATTGAGTCGAAAGTTAAATGTGGAAGCGGAAAAATCCTAGCAGAGAGGAAGTTGATATGAGTTGATTGTTAATCACTTCAATGGGCATTTCAGAAACCAAGTTTACTGTATGTGAATGCTCTTAATAACTGCACTGGTCAACTAGTCTCAGTAAATCCATTGATAATGAATCATAGTCCTAGTACATTTGGTTGAACGGTGATTGCTGACGTGCTTACGCTTCATTCTACTGGATTGTGCTTATTTGCAAAAATCTGAACACCTGCCTAAATATAGTTTTAAATTCTGGAGCTGTGGAATAAATCGTTAATGTTCCTTTTTGAGGCTTTGCCGACAGGCACACGTATGACCGCTTCGTGATTAAATTCTACCAAAATTTAAGCATCACTCTGTCATGACAATCCGACGAGGCTTTACATTTTGAGAGACATGAACAACGGCGGAAAACTGATATCAGATGTGATTATACACGACACAATCCTCTTGGACTGCTAACGTTTGCTGATGAAAGTAGTGGAATCGGTTTATTTCATTACTTTGCTTCAGAAGGATGGAAATTCCTAAGGAAATCTTGTTCCAGCTAAGAAGGAATGTATCATACACGAAGATACAAAGTAAACGTTTTCCATCGTTGTTGCACAAAGTGCAAATCTAATTTTGACGCAATCAGCCGGCGCTTTCAATCCATTCTTGTAAATGAACGTTAATGCAATAATTTATAATGTTTATATTTAGTTTGTGAATATTACGTCCATGTCTTTTGCCAAGATTTAGCCGTCAGTGATTGCAAAGAAGCCGGGACCTTCATTGGCAGCTTAGAACCGGTAAGTGTGTAAACTTTGGTGAAACGTCATTTTAAAATATTTACCCGTTCTTTCTTAGCCATGTTTCGCAATAAGCTAATTCTGACAGCCCACTACCACAAACTCCTTGTAGTGATAATCTTCCAGCCGTCTTGTGCATTCTCGCTTTGCAGTTCCGGCAATTTCTGCCGGTATAAATTCCGCCACTTTCGTATAATCGGGTAATGAGATTCAAAACATATTCATGCGCCGGAATACAGTGAATGGCGCAAACTTAGTTTAACTTACAGGCTTAGTTTAATGATGGATTGTACCTCCTCCTTACGATTCTACAACCGCATAGCTGCTGTCGAGTCTGCCTTTAAAAAAGTTCAGTCCTGGTTGATGGCATGAAAATATAGATCCAAGCCCCCTCCTCCTTTGGTTTCAAGAATAGCAAGTGCTAATAAGGGCACCGTCATGAAAGTGTGATTGCACCCACATTCCCACGGTTACAAACCTTCCTTTACTTTTTCCTTCCTGTGCCTAATGAATACAAACTCCTGAAGCATTATTCGTCATGGCGGAGGTGGCCCTAGCGAACAGAATGATGTGCGATGAATCTGGCCCTGCAACTGCTCAAGTAATGGAGTCACAGCCCCACTGAGGAGGCCCCCGCGCAACTGAGAACGAGGAGGTGGCCCATTTCACCACGTAACGTACTCTTGACGGAGTTTTGCGCCGTTTAACATGGTCCAACGTGAGAACATGTTTTGAAGCTTTCGGTATCGTCTGCTTATTTACTTTGTAGCCTTTCCTTTCACATGTTATTTTGTTCGAATGGGTTAATTTGGCCTTTAATGAACTGCACTACGGTATTTTCTCTTAATATTATTGTTGCTTTTGTTTAAAATGAGAAAATCGTTTCAGATTTCAAAAGCTTCGCAGAAATAACTGTATCATTTTTCCATTTGCTAAATATCTTTTAGTCGCATGCGAGTGTCGTTTCGTACAGAATGATGGTACTGCTTATTGATTGGATGTTGCTGCCGTTTTGAGACAAAACGTTTTTCTCTTATCAACTGCAATATTATGCAAGGCATAAACCCTACCTGGAAGAATCGCACTGCTCCATCAGTACTTTCCTGTTTTGGTCAGCTTCTTATTCTTCATCCATAAAGATACTGGCGAAAGGATATGTGCTGACGATTTCTGTAAATCGTTTTTGCTTCTGTCTTTCTAAAGCCTTCTAGCAAATTAATTCACTCATAGATACTGCGAGATCGCATATTCATGTATTCAATTTGTCGTTGATCCTCTGGATCAGTACGGCTTCTTGGGTGATCGTCGTCGGAGTGCAGGCTGTATGTCGGTGGAATCACCGTGGTGTTTTTCAGTAATGTGCTGAGATCTTAGCAAACTATATTTTTCAAATTATTAAAGTTCATTAGCATGTGGCGAATTACTTAGATAATCACACGTTACTCTAATCTGTAAGCATAAACAAGTCTGATTGGTCTATCCGGAATTACGAGTCCCATGCAAAGCTGACTGCATTGCATCTTCTGCGGGATTGAATTTTAATTTTTATTTGATTTGAATACAGATCATCCCATTTCTGCGTTTGCGCTTTTTGATACATTTTGATGTTCAGGTGCACATTCCGGCTGCAGCCATTTAGTTTTTGCCATTCATGTTTATCATTTTAATCATTCGTTGACCGATTAGATACCTTACTGACCGTGATAATGTAGGCAATATTTTCTTTGTCTTGGTGAGCAATGGAAAGAGCGGGCTATTTCACATGACGGCTTCCGTATCAAGCACAGTTGCGAAACGACCTCTTTATTAACCCTCAGAAGTGGAAAATTATGGGAACCTATCCAGCATAGTTGAGCTACAAATGGAACAGGGAAGTGAAGCGTTTTAGGACAATGAGCAATTTAAGTATTTCGGCTCTATCTTCTCCAGATGGAACTACCCAACCAGAATTCAATAGAACGATCGTCATAGCTTCGAGTACTTTTCGTTACCTGTTCTATTCTTGGGTTGTGAAATGAATAACTCTTTCCATAAAATCCGCTTGCTCATTACCTCTGTCAGGCCAGTGTTTTAGCACGGCATGAAGACAGTTGTTCTAACAAAGTAGCAATAACGACGGTTGAACTGCATGCACCAGTGTTGGCGTCTACGTATAAAAAGGGTTAAATGACAGGATCATGTGAGAAATGACTATCCTCCTCCATGCACAGGTGATCTCTGTAGAAGTTGAGATCTAGAAAAGAAGCTGGTCTTTACGAACAAACTCTTTAGGCACTAACTCTTTACTCTAGTGGGCACCTTATAATAAAAGTATTGTAAAACTGGGCATCACACGACAAAGATTTTCCACTTATGCAAACGGCTCAAAGGGGATTATTTCAACTAAGCCGTTCACCTTGCCATTTTTATAGTTTGTGACAAAGTTTTATAATATCAGCATCGTCTGCTGTTATTCAATATGTTTTAGGCATGATCTGCATTCATCCGTTTCATTTGAGCACAAAATATAAACTTAGCTTCCCTTTCGCTTTTCATTCATTTACTGCAGGAATTGTATAAAAGAACGAGTAGTTTCAGAACATCTTAGATCTCGGTATGTCTTTGAACTTCAAAATTATTTCGAAATATTGAACTGCTTATACGGGAAATGAATTCGTAGCTTACCGTGAAAAATTATTATTCTTTATTTTTTTCTGATTTTTCTTTGTCGATGGTGCCCCTTGAACTTAAAACAGCGCTCTTCCAGCATCTTTTTCTCGTTGTTGTGCTTAGCCACTGGCCAAGCAGTATGATTATCAGGTCATTTTTGATGATCGAGGGACGTTTCTCGTCCACCGAAGGGTAAACCGTAATTTTTGACTTCCTCTGTTTGTCCCTCATAGAAACTGTTTACTTACTTCGGTTGTCCGTTGTCCCTCCCGCATTACTGGCCTATTTTATCTTTACATGGTAGGAGGCAGAGATCACGTCTGTTAATGCAGCCCGTTGTCGAATATGTGCGCTATGAACTTGATCCCGATGGAGAGGGTGGCCTCACACATTCTCCTCTCTATTGCTTCTTATGTGACCGCTAGATTGTATTATTCGGCTTTGGTGGTAGACCAGCATTTAGCACCACACGGCACAGTTAGCGGAGATAACTGTAAATATCATGACGGTATGAAGATAAATGCACATATGAATAATTAATGCAAAGTGAAGCGATTCCCGGCAAATTGCAAAAATAGCTCTAAATAATATTTTTGGCAGTTAAGTTTTCAATACGGTCACCACTGATCCACAGTATGCTTGGTTCTGGTCGGAATGAGCACGTGACAAAATCGCAAGTTTCTTCTTTTGTGCAGCAGTGGACGAAATTTCATTGTAACGAATTATTAGCATTCTCTAGAGTTTTCCTCAAATAGATCGCGTTGTTATTACAAGATTGCTGCAGTGCTGTACCACCCCAATCTCTGACTCTGCAAATTTGGCGCAGTATGACCAATTCGGTTTTGAATAACGCTGCACGCTTGAATGATACTTTGCCAAGTAGAAGCAAGATGCAGCACAGCCTCTGCGCTACTGTGATCATCAATTTGACGTGCCCAGAAAACCGGCATCAATTATTACAGGCGCTAAGACCCGTAAGTTTAGTGGTCGGCGGTTGCACTGCAATTTGAGATTTAAGAGAAGCGGAAGTATGGTTGAAAGGTAGTCGTAAAAATTTCGGTTTAGCAGATTTCGATCTGCTATGATTTTGGTTGTCGACCGCTCTCCAAGACGAAGATGGTCAGATTAGATTTGGGGGCAGCCTGCGCTTCATGCTTGCAA